TCCTGGGCTCTGGGGATTGATTCAGTCATGAATAAGACAGGCAAGGTCCCTGTCCTCCTCTTAGAGCCACTAACTAGTAAGAGATTCAGAACGCTAATCAGGTGATCACACTTAGTACACAGTACAGTGTTGTCACAGTGGAATGCATGGGGACCGGCTGCCCCCCTAGCAGCCTATGATCTCCGGAAGAAGAATAACAACAGTACCAGTTGTTGTTGTTGACGTGTTTTCCATATCAATTTACTTGATCTTCGTAACAGGCCTACCAAGCAGGTAGTGTCATTATCACCCTCATTTTACAGGGGAAGAGATTGCCCAAATTCACTGTGCCAGGACAGACAATGCTTCCACTCTTGGTTGAGCGGCAAACTTTTCTACAGCCTGGTGAATTTCAAAATGTGCCATAACCCCATGAGAACAAGACAGAAGGAACCAGATTCACCCCAGCAAGTGAGATTTGGGTTGGACACTAGAAAGAACTCCTTGGCAACAGTTAGTTATAAGTATATGAGAAAAATTGGGGCGCCTGGGTGGCTCATTTGGTAAACCCGCTGACTCTTGATTTCTGCTCAGGTCATGATCACAAGGTCGTGTGATCAAGCACCGTGTAGGGCTCCAGGCTGAGTGTGGAGCTTACTTAAGATTCTCTCTCTCTCTCCCTCTGCCCCTCTCCCCTGCTTTCTCTCTCTCTCTCTCTCTCTCTCTCTCTCTCTCTCTCTCTCTCAAAAAATAAATAAATACATAAAGCTTATGAGAAAAGGAATTCCTTTTCTGGGAATTTGCTTTTTTGAATTTTCTGTATGGCATAAATAACATTGTAAAAAATAGAGGAATTAATCTAGAAAAAAAAAGATCTCTCAAAATTCCACCTGTGAATTGGGTTCCTTTGTTCATCTTTCCAGGCCGCATGGAGACTGTGAGCTGGTGTGGGAGGAGAAGTAACTAGATCCGGGGCTGCTTGCAGCAGCCTGAAGGCAAGGATGTGCTAACTAGCAGAGGTCAGCCCCCATCTCTCTGCTTCCACAGGGGGCAGGCACCCCTGTGTGTTTCAGCAGGGGGAGCTGGCTACCTTCTGACTCTGACAGGCCACTCTGGATAAAGTAGGGCCGGGGTGAGGCTGTGAGGGATTACCTGCTTTTTCAGATGAGAACAACCAAAACTGCATGCTCTCTAGTCCCCGGGGGAAACAGGGAGGGAGAAAGGAGCAATCAGCAATCCAGCAAAGCTAGGTGAATGATTAAAATGGCTTCCAGGTCAATGGGTAGGGTCATAAGTCCCCATTGCTTCACCCCACCTTCACTTCAGCAGCTCCAGCCATGAGCTGGAGGCATAATTCCTTGGGTATCTTGGGATGTCCCAGCTTGTTCTGGGGAGTTCTGTCAGTGCCCTCTCCCCCAAGGATTTCCCTCTGGCCTAATAAAATATTTTTTATGTGTGAAATACTTTAAGGTAGTTTGAAGTATTTTCCCCACATTCTCTCATATTTTACCTTATTTTTAAAGTTTATTTATTGAGAGAGAGAGAGAGAGAGAGAGAGAGAGAGAGAGAGAATGGTGGGGGAGGGGCAGAGAGAGAGAGACACAGAGAGAGAGAGAGAGAGAGAGAGAGAGAGAGAGAATATCCCAAGCAGGCTCCTCACTGCCAGCCCAGAGCCGGACTCAGTGCTTGAACCCATGAACTGTGAGATCATGACCGGAGCCTAAGCCGGATGCTTAACCGACTAAGCCACCCAGGGGCCCCTCTCATATTTTTAAATAAACTTGATTTCTTAGAGCAGTCTTAGGTTCACAGTGAAATTGAGCAGATACTCCCTAATTTTTAATTTTGATTCTCACATCCACCCTACAAATAGAAGGGGTATTATCTCCACATTTACGTTACATTTAGACTCACAGTAACAGAGCCTGGTGTTAACTGAGGTCTTCTGATCTCTTAAGCCCCAGGTACTTTCTCTTGGTTACCTCAGAGTGCCTTCTGAATCTTTCCAGATCTTTCCTCACACTAAGCCTGGGAACCTTGCACCATCTCTCATTGCTAGAGCTTAGAGCCAAGTTTGAGAAGTTTCCCCAGGTTCCCTGTTGACTGCAGGGGGCCACTAGAGAGCCCATCTCTTTCCCGGGTGAAAGGTCCACCCTCTCAGGCTCTGGCAGAGGCACTGGGACCCAGAACTTGCACAATGCCTTGATAAGCTTCTTAGAGGTGGGTATTAGCAGGGATCGGATATTCTTTCCCTGAGATGCCCTTCACACCCGACCCTGCTTTGAATTAGGATTCCATAGGGGAGCTGGGGACAGGAGAATGGGGTGTGCCCTGCTGTCCAGCTTCAGACTCACTCTTTGAGACCCTGGGTTCTGACAAGTTTCCAGAACTGAGAAGACACTCAGATGTCCAGGTTTGAAGGTAAATGATGTGCTTAGGTAGGAGGGATCAGCTGGGGTGCCAGCTCAGCTCTGTTATACAACATAGGCACACCAGGAATAGGAAGACCCTCCAAAGGTCTTGAGGAGAGTCAAGCGGGTTGCTACGGAGTTGAGCGTCTGGCAAGGGACAGGGCGGCTGCAGGGAGATGGTGGAAATACAGTTACAGGAATCAAGGACAGAGAAGGAAATTCGCTTATTCTGTACTGCTCCTTTAGCTTGCTCCTTTTTTGTTTTGTTTTTTTTAATGTTTATTTTGGCAAAAGAGAGAGGGAGTAGGGAGGGAGAGGGAGAGAGAGGGGGACAGAGGATCCGAAGCTCGCTGACAGCAGTGAGCCCGATGCAGGATTCGGACTCAGGAACCATGAGATCATGACCTGAGCCGTAGTCGGACATGTAACCGACCGAGCCACCCAGGCGCCCCCTGTTTTGGTTTTTAAGATAAATGCATTTGATGGGGCGCCTGGGTGGCTCAGTTGGCTGAGCGTCCGACTTCGGCTCAGGTCATGATCTCGCAGCCTG